TCTAATTCAAAACAAACAGTTGTAAAAATTATCTAAATATATCAAAGTACCTTGTTTAATTTGGAGTTATTAATTTATGATAATTTTCTTTGTTTTGTCTTACGTAAGAATATATATAATATACACCGCACCAGACAATTGAAATAACTGTATCCACAGATGAATTAATTAATATAGGGGCATTTCTAGTGTACTCCACGTCGCGTCGTGATATACTTATTTTGAATACGAGTAGGTATATGTGTACTTTTGTTAAACATGGTTACCTATCACTGGTCCGAAATGACACTTTCCAGAAATAACGTTTGGTAGAAATTTCATAACCTCGAAAGTAATTTTGAGAGGAAAATGCTTTTGTTTTATTTTAAACCTAATTTAACCTAACCTAATCGTGTCTTTGCGATAAACATTCAACATATCCTGAAAGAACAATTGTTTCGTTATAATTCGGTATACGGTGTAATGAAAATTCGAATAAACTTTATTTCGGCCAAAAAATTTTCGACTTTGTGATTTGTTAGCGTTAAACAAAACCCTTCATTGTTCAAGTGTCAATACCACGGAAGAAAAAAGACTATATAGAAGGTCTTTAAGTCTCAATTCAAATGTCACGCAGAGGTCCCAGGTTCGATTCCCGAGCCGGGAGAAATATTTGTATGGCCTACATTAATTCATCTCGTGTGTTTTGTAATTTGTGGTTGTCTATGTGTGGGGTTATACATAGGGTTTCCCCAGTGCGGGGCTATGTTGAGCGTGTGCGTTATTTATTTACTTTATTTATTTGCTATCAGAAACACTGTCGTCAAAACGATAGTGTAATATCATAATTTTAAACACTAGGAAATCTTGATTGGCCGTAGTTTCTAATTAAAAAAGATGTATATGTTACTTGTGTTAACATAATTGAAACTTTACCTTATAGGCATATCGTTGAAAGTTAAGCACTTATTATTGCAAATTACGATGTTTTTTGTTTTATATTGAAGTTTCATTCAATCTAGCGGCAATAGCTGAAAGATGATGAACAAATAACGCCTTTTGACCTTCTCCAAAGCAAAGTCGACCATATTGCACATGTATAGCTATGATAAACAGAAAATGGAAACTTATAGCGCGTTAAAATCGTATACAGAGCGTCATTCACGCTTTAGTCTTCGTTTGTTCGACTGACAGCGAAGCAAGCAAAATTAGACAGCGATGACATTACAATTTAAATTCAACGTTTTAGCTTTTTCATATTCCTTTACATGTCACTACGTTTAAATAGGTTGACTTGGGACATTTTTTTCGTGGTTTTTGTGTTAGACCCGTCGTCTATTTATTTGTAAGTCAATGGGTGCGCCTTTCATTTTTGCACTCCAAATTAGGAAAATAAGGTACTCATCCAAAAAACATACTCTGTCAAATGACTAACCTCAAGTTTGTGGAACTCCGTGCGCCCACTAAGCGCTTCTGTTGTATTTATTGTTCTGTGGTCATGACACTACCGGACAAACTTATTACATACATACATAAACTTTGCGCCCTTTCCCCCGTCGGGGTAGGCAGAGAAGCAAAGCAAAATATCCTATCTACAAAATTTAAAGTACTATAACATAAGACGTAGCTCAGGTAGCGTAGCGAGAGATATTTTTAAATATAAACTGGGATTATCTTCATAAATAAATATTTATTACGTATTTTACATGTTGATTTTTGGAAGCTTCTTTTCGAACTGCTAAGATGTTCTTGTTTTTTTAAACACAAATCTATATTCAGTCAGCCAGTACTTCTACTCATAGAGTAGAGCCTGGGACACCCTGTATATGTGTAGCAGATAATTATGTAATGTAAAGTTTCTGACGTTTTGTCGTATCTAAATAAGACATGTGATTGAACTCGGCTTTCAAAAGCAAACATTCTCCATTAATCGTCTAGCTGTTCGTTCCGTCATTTGTAATCATAAAAAAGAATGAATAAATGAAACTTTATGTTAGAAGCACCTCTATAAAACTACTACCAACGTTAAAAAAAACAAAACAATCGATGATTGATGACATAATGACGATGACGGACAGGCTGTGATTGTGCTGAACAGAAGTCAACTATTTTTATTAAAGTCACATTTGTATCTTGTTTGTCTGTTTTATATAGGCTAATAAGAAAATTACACTTTATTGCTTTTCCTGTGAATCACACACGTCACACAATACTACGTGTGGCGCATTGTAAGTTTCCGGAATGAATAAGAAAAAATTACTAGAAATGAATTTATTGTTTCTCAAAATATTTTCCGTTAGAGTTGATGCACTTTTTTATACGAATAAACCAATTTTGAAAACATTTATGCCACTCCTACGTGACAATCTCTGAAACATATTTTTTATACTCTTTGACAGTCTTTTTCACAGTATTTTCATCGCCTGAAGAGACTGTTAGATAATTATTCGTACTAGGCTACTAGTTTAGGCACTCTGCTAGATAATGATTCGTTGAGAATTGCCGTTGCTTTGCGGTTGGGATGTAAGGTTTGTGAACCGCATCACAGTATTTGTGGGGTCATGGTTGAGGAAAACGGCCACCACGGCCTTAGTTGTCAGAAGCGCGTGGGGAGGTTTTCAAGACATCATGCAATAAATGATTTAGTTCGCCGGGCTTTAGTGTTGGCTAACGTGCCCTGTGTCTTGGAGCCTCCGGGGCTGTGCCGTACAGATGGTAAGAGACCTGACGGCCTTACACTGGTTCCGTGGCAGAAAGGCCGGTGCCTTTTGTGGGACGTTACGTGTGTCGGTACGTTTGCACCGTCCTACCCGAGTCACACCACCAGATCTCCGGCAGATCTGTCAGCTGCAGAGTATTCGGCAAAATTGAGACATGCCAAGTACAGAGCATTGGAGCCGAAGTACGATTTTGTGCCAATTGCAGTAAAACTGCGGGGACTTGGAGTGAGGAGATCAAAGAGTTGGGTAGTCGGCTTAGAGAAAGAAGCTATGATCCACGCTCTGGATCTTACTTGGTGCAACAAATTTCGTTGGCTATTCAGCGCGGTAATGCTGCCAGTGTTTTGGGGACGTTTGAGCCAGCTTTTTTTTATACATGACAGGCAAATGACTCCACTCCACCTGATGTTAAGTGGAAAGTGGTATCCACACGCGAAGGAACTAAGTTTCAGAGCGGTCCTCTTTCATTCTCATAATTAAATAGAAATGACTAAGCCCAGCGAATTGAATTATTAATTTTTGTGTGACGAAGCCTGTTGCTGATTTATATTTGTCTCTTCCCGA